TTTTAATTTAACAAGTTTTTGAAAATATTAAAAATATCACTTTGTGTATATAGGTATTTCATCACTTCCCTGTATTTTTATATATTTTTTCGAGTCATAGAATTATTTATTTTATTAATTTTTGTAAATAGAAAGGGTAAAAGGAAGAAAAAATGGACAAAAAGTGATTTATACTAATGGACATGAAGACTGCTTTTTTGTTCTATATTAGCATAATTCCCTTTTTTGGATAACCTTTTCTACACAATAGCAGTGACTAATATAATCTGCATGTGTGTTATGCACATCTATCTAAAGTACTTTTATTTGGCATCTAAACATGAAATCTTTAATTTTATATTTTTATAATAAATACTTATTTAGAAAAATATTGAAAATAAATTATAGTTTCAAAATTCAAATGGTTATTTACCTATTCTTCAATAATATTTTAATAATTAAAACAGATGACATTTAAAATATATAAATTTTATAGACAGATTAACCGCGCGTAGCGCGGTTAAGTCTCTAGTATCATTAAGAAGAAGGTTTAAATGTTGAATAGATGTATTATATTTCTGACTATGAGAGACGAGGAATCGAATCCGGTTTAGATGATTATATATAATCCGGACTGGTGGCACTATTATATTTTTTTATAATATTAAGTCAATAAAATATATATTTAAGTTTTAATAAATATTTGAAAATATTTATTTAATTTTAAATCACATCCATTATTAATGTTTGTGCTTTGTTATTTTAATCATAGGTTTTATCTTTGAGAAGATTTTCAAGATATATAATTATTTTATATTTTCAATGTTTCTTCTATTTAATTGTGTAGTAATTGTAATAAAATTCCATAAAGTACATATTATTAATCCTTTCTGCTTCTTATAATTTTTTATTAAATCAATTAGTACTTTATTTTTTCTTATTTATTTTATTTTTTTTAAAAAATATTCAGACAGCATAAAAAACAAATACTTAGGTGATGATTTTCGAGTGATTTATAGGTGCTGTAGAAAATTTCTACAGCCATTTTTTTTTTATAAATCACCAAACTCTTCTAATTAGGGCTAGGCAATCAGGATCACAATCGGGTTTCAGTTTGGGTTCATTCGGGTTTCGCGTTTTCAGTTTCATGAATTTCAGCCCCATTCGGATATTATAAAATTCGGTTTGGATTTGATTTGGTTTAGACGGATTCGGTTTGGGTTTAGTAACATGTCCAGGGTTAAACCCGTAATAGTTTGTTTTCGGATGTTAATCGGGTTATCAGTTCTAAAAATACTAATTTATACTCGATTAAACTCACTATATTTTCAAGCGTTTTATTAAATTTGTGTAGTTAGTTTCTTCAAACCATATTGTTCTCCTTCAAAATAATATTGTGAAACTCGTCCATCAACCATATAAGATTTATTATTGAACTACATTTGACAACACTAAACATATCATAATTAACGACATACCAGAGCTTGTATAAAAGAAAATCATACATAATGAAACATTAAAAGTTAAAGTTAACAACTAACAATTCTATAAGTTCATGACATTTGAAGTTAAGTTACAAGTTCTGGTTTCTCACTATTTTATCTTGTTTTTACAGATTTTTCACTACACAGATGTCATATTTTACTCATTTAAACGTAAATCTATAAATTTTTAATATTTATTTTGGTGTCTTTTATATATTAGATTCTAGTAAGTTATATATTCAACATAATGTGATTGTAATAGTTATTATTTAAGCTTTACAACATTATTTTTTTTTGAATTTTTATCTGTTTTAATGTCACTTGAACATTTTTGGATATGTATGTTTTTTTCAGATCTGAGTCAGATATTGGAAAACTTTCGGAAGACGTTCATAAGACATTTTCGAATTAAAAATAAACACATTTTTAAATAAAATAAACGTGGGTTCTTGGATGATTGGATAATAAGACATAGGGGCAGTAGATCACTTGCCTCCACTAAGGGTTTGACTGAAACGTGCTGAAAGAAAAATCTGTATCTTTAAAAGATATTTCTAATACATGATTGGAAGAAGGGTTGAGCAAAAAGAAAAAATCCGAAAATTCAAGCCGAACCCGAACCAATAAAAAGGAATTCGAACCGATCCGAACCCGACATAAATACCAAATAAATCTTGTTTTGCGGTATTTTTGGTTATATGTTTTACCCGAACCGAACCCAAACTTAAATGGATATCTGAAAGACTCCAAAACTTTAAGCACACATTAATATATTATTGAGTACCTATAATAATTAGTTTTATATGAATAATTAACTCAAATATTTAGTCTAATATATAGTTTTATTTAGTTAATATTAATTTTATGATTGATATTACATTTGAAATTTTATTTAGTTAATATTAAATTTATTTGTAACTTAACTTCAAATGTAATTTTATGATTGGTATTGTTCAACTTGTGTCCACCCTTTATACTTACCAAAATAGCGTTTCCATGATTATTTTAGTTTGGACCATCTTTAGAGTTTTATAAAATTTTACATAACATTATAATATCTTTTCATATCTTTAATTTTTGTTTGAAATATAAATAAATAGTTTTAATAAAATTCTAAAAAAATCTTTTAGAATCTTTTTCAAGATATAGTTTCAAAAATTATTTGATTAAAATTTTAACTATCATAAAATATAATTAAAACTTTAATTCCTTTTTTAATTTATAAACAAAAAATTATATTATGTAAAATACTTTTAACAATATCCCAAAATTTTGTTTATGTATTATGTAAGTCCAACTTAATTAATTTTTACATAGATTTCAAATTTAGAAATAAAACAATATATATAAATTGGTAATCTTACATAATAATGTTTTTAAAAAATTGTTACAAAAATACAAATTTATAAATTTTATATTAATAATATTATAAGTCATATAAAAATTATTATAAAATTGGATAGCATACAGAATCAAATTATACTTATTTTTTGATAAATATTATTATATAATTTCAAATATTTTGTATTAAAATACCCGCACGGTTCTTCGAATTTTATATTATCTTTACAAATTAAATTACACTAATATTTAATCAAGCTCTATTTATATTACTTTATCTAAAAATGAAATACTAATCTAACAAACAATAAAATTACACATGAAGGAGAAGTTATGACTTCTCTTTTAATATAATAGATGAGTTTTTTTAAGGATAAATTATTTTCCACCATGCGTCGGTACAAAGATATACACATGCAATATCTAAATTATCAAATTATAACGACTAAATATTATATATACTACTAGGTTTGGATGAATGATAAGTATTGGAGTGTAGAACATAGAGTGGTGGTGATTGGTGAACACAACAATAGAAAGATACTCAATACCATCTTCTTGATGCCTTCACATGATGTGGAAGTGAAGCCATTAGAAGAGTGAGTCCTGAAAACCCTCCACGATCACAAAGATATAGTAATAACCGAACAAGTTATATGTCAGGAGAACATATGCGATTGTTAAAAACTTGGAATCCGATCCAAAACATTCAGCTCGATGACTTCAAAATTGTAAAATAAAAAATGTGAAAGTTGAAAGAAAAAAAACTTATGCTATGATATAAGCTCTTAATGTTATAATGTGTGAGAGACTGAATTTATGTCGGAAACAATATATCTAATATGATTTTTGGAAAAGATGTCTTTAGTGGTGGATGTACAGCCAACAAGGATAGGGCATCTGCCCCATATGGATTTTTATAAAAATAGTTTTTAAATTTTAGTGAAAATGGTTAAGTTTACACCTCTTAATATTTCAAATATATGGATAAATGCTCCTCTTCTTTAACATTTGAAAATTTTGATCCCGTAACAAAACGTTCGAAATCCGCCACTGGATGTCCTCATAACTTTTTTCTTTTGCTGCAAATATATAAGACTTCGGATCGAGATCCAAATATCCAACTAAGAGCACCTCCAATAGTTTTACTATCATTGGAGTCTTTAGCCATTAAAAAAAAAAATATTTTTTTTGAGAAAAATTAAGGATTCTAATCCAATATGTGTGTCCAATGCTGTTACCCATTATAGAATCCTTAGAAATATAAAATTATTAAAATTGTACAATATTTAAATTTAAACCTTTTATTTATTGAATGATTAAATTTAACCATACAATAATTATACATCATCATCATTATCAAACTTATTTCACAAAATTTCAACCAAATTATTTTTCAATTATTCATGTATACGCCTATCATCTATAAGTTGTTTTTTTAAGAAACTCATTTGTAAATAAATATCATTTTTTTTTGTAAATTATTGAAATCACGATATTTATAAATTCTAATTTTTCATGTAGTAACGCATCATACCTTTTCCATTAAAGTTTTCTATAAAACTATAAGCAATGAAAAAAGAGATATTGATAAAATCACCATTTAATCTTTTTCACAGGTACACTAGAATAATACGTTTGTATAAGATTCGGGAAAACAAACAAAAAGACGGATGATTCTTCTCTTCCTACGGAAACTGACATGTGTTAAGGATTCAATTCTTAGACCATGCGCAACAGGGGTACGTGTGAATCCTTAGCTGCACCCCCGATGGATTTAGCATTATATTTATAATATTTTAGTCTAAATCACTAATGATCAATACGTAAATAAAGATTTATTTTCGTTGATCCTTAGGTACGTGGCAGTGTGTGATTCGATGGGTAGGCTTTTGTGTTTCGTATAGCAAAAAAAATGTCATTTTGGACAGAAACCAAGAAAAAAAAAAGTTCTCAGACGAAAAGGCGATTTTGGTTTCAAACGATTTTGAGATCTTCTCGTTTGTTCTTACAATCGAGTTACAATCAACTTAAATCGGATCTATAACTTGGATTCTTGAAGAAAGCTTTGTCTCTTCTTCTATCTCTTAACTCATTTACGGATCAGAGGGTTCGAAAAGTCGAATCCTTTATCAACTTTTAACTTGCTCTGTTTCATGGAATCTGACTTCCCAATTCGACTTTGTTTTTGCTGAGATGGCGAGAAGTAGATCGATAAGTGGCTCTGGGATATGGAAATATCTGAATCATGCGTATTACCTCAGAAGGCCGATACGTTTGGCTTTGCTTTTCATTGTGTTCCTCTATGTTTCCATGGTGTTCTTCTTGACAGAACTCTGTATCTCTTTGTCTAAGAGACAGTTATAGTCTCATAGGTTGTTGATAAGCATAATCCAATCATATAAAGTAGCTTATGTTTTGTTTCTTCATGGAATCTGGACAGGACTCTGAATCTCTCTAAGTTTAAGAGGATGTTCTAGAATCATAGGTTGTAGATAAGCATTTAGATATTTTTGTAGTCTTTATCATGGAAGATAGTGCCTTGCTAGAAAAGAGCTGCGATTGATTATTTATGGGCTCAATTCATCAAAGAAACAATGTGCGTTTGTTAATTTGCTTGACTTAGCTAAAAGTGATGATACTTTTGTTTCAAGGAAGTGGATGATTCTTTTGTCATCTTGTACTGCTGCTGTTTATCAAGTCTTCTGTCTTTGGTCGACCTCTGTTTCCGAATTTCCTTCAACATCATGTTGCACTGTCGTTATATTTTTCTGGAAATACATCGTGTTTTATGGATTCTGGGTCGCTTAAGACATACTAAATCTTCAGGACTGTAGAAGGGTGTGATGGTTTTCACATGCTTAGCTATCTAACTATATTTTATGCTAGTTAGAAGAGCTTAAAGGTGTTGGCGATGGTAAATCTTTGATGACTCAGAAGGATGTTCCAGAAGATCCCGTTGTTATCAAGCGAAGGCAGAAAGTAAAAGAGGCAATGATCCATGCTTGGAGCTCATACGAGAAGTATGCATGGAGAAAAGATGAGCTTCAGGTACAAATGAATTTTCACCCTTGCATACATATAATCTAGTGAAGGAATATATACATATCAATATTATTTTTTAATTCTTAAGAATTCTAAATTGGAAAACACCATTGGATATAAAATTTTGATTAGAGTTCTTAACTATTCAAAAAACAAAATTTAATACTTTAATAATACTAAAGACTCTAATTAGAGTAACACCATTGTGCATGCTCTTACACACCTTATATAAGGATTCATCCTTAGTTTACATAACTTACGTAATATTATTAAACTCCAATTTGCATTGGTTTCAATGCTAAGGATTTACTTAAATCTTGCAATTGGCATTGGTTTCAATGCTAAGGATTTACTTAAATCTTGCATTGCACCTGCTCTAAGATTTGACTTGTGTATATCACATTCTCCACCCTTCCAAGATCCCGTTTAAATTCAGAGCTAATTTCTTTTGTAATGGTTGCAAAAATAGAAATTGGTCATCTAAAAGAGTCTATATAAAACGCTCATGAACTTTGTGAATATACTCCGTCTACATACATCTTTCATCATTGGCGTATTTTTGGTCCTCTTTGTACAACTGGCATGACTGTAAATCCTAATTAACCTAATGTGATAAAAAGTTAATTGTTGACGGAAACTAGTCTACATTCATTTTACCAATAAAAGCGTTTTATTTTCGATACACACG